CCCCCCCCCCCCTACCTCCAATCCACGCTTGTCGTTAATGCGTTAATTTCTTTTCGTTTACCTACCTACCTGGGTGTGCAAGTGCGACGAGGCACCCAGATAGAGAATGCCCTCGGTCTCCTCTACTGCATTTCTAACAGGGTTCAAAGCAAAGCACTGGTGGGTGATTTAAGACTACAGTCCCTATTGGCAGGCATCAGTTCGAAGTGTTCAATTGTTCACCCGAAAACTTGAAACTGTTCAAATTTTCAGTGAACCGTATGAGTGCGACACGGTCCTGGAAATTTCCAGTCGCTATAGGTAGTTGAACACTTGTGAGTGGCCGATGTAGCCGATAGCCACGGCCCGTCACAATACCCGTGACTTCACCCGTCACCGGCAGGCACGCGCCACCACCGCAGAAGACTGCGGCCCGGGGCTGCGGCCCAGGAGGCCAGGCAGGCCGAGCCCTCCAGCGCGCTCCGCCGGCCCGGCAGTGCAGTCGGTGCCCCCCGCCCCCGCCCTTGTGCACAGCGGCAACGGGGCGGCCGGTGTCCGTCTGTCGCCCGAGGCGGAGCGCGGAGTAGTCCCGCAGCAGAGGTCCGTTTCTTTTGCAAGACGTAGTATGTCTTCGCCTGGATACCCGGTACAAACTTTTTCGGTCATAATGCACTGTGTCCTGGAATAATTAGGCGACGACAGCTTGATCTAATCAAGACTTTCACCTCGATTTTGGGAGTGTTCATAGTACTATAGTACGAAGTCCGTCGACATTTGAAGTAGTGTTCTCATTTTTTCCGGCCACAATGCACTGTGACTAAGGCTTTATTCAATTAGCCACACGCTCGCGCTCGAGCTTCGACTGCTATCTCGCGGGGTGGTGGCAGCTAGCCGCTGAACCGTAGGCGAGCCGGAAGCTAATCAGGAGACAACGCGCCCCGGGGAGCCGAGCCGCGATCGATTGTTTTGAAATTAACTAATATTTAGTTCTGGCGACCATATGTTAATAATTTTCGTGTATTTCCCGCGTAGTTATAGTGCAGGACTAATGAATAAAAGGTCCTATTTGTCTTTGCCAACTCCCGGAATTGGAGTGGAGTGCCTCAATTAAACACACTTGTAGAAATTTTCCGTTTATTTTATCCTGTAAATTTAGAAGTTTTATAATCTGACAGAGTGTACTGCAAAATACATATCAAAATTACAGAGTACTTAAAGAGTTGACAAATGTTAGATCTGAATACTGAATTACATTTTAAGATTGTTTTGGGTAATTAAGAAAACCGATTATTTCTGCCTGTAACAACATTACATTCATCATTCTCTTCTTACAAAAATTAAAACAGAGACACTATCGGTCATTTACCCAAAAGAATGGCTCTGCTAAGCCGGCCTGCGATTCATGGACTGGTCTAAAGTAGAAAATGTGTCATTCCTACGTGTACGGAAATTTTGCAAACACTTTTATCACAGATATCGAGGACCGGCTCATAATCTCTCCTCTATATAAGTAAAACAAAACATTCCTATGCCCACAACACTGGCATGTGACTAGGATGAATTATGAAGCAATGTACAAATAAAACTATCTCTCACTGAATCATGCGCCTTTTACAATATCTTAATTCTGACTCTTTGTTATGCGCCCATACATTTGTTAAGTAGAAAGAATAATAAAAGCTTTGAAGCGTAAGGGGTGGAAATTTCAAATACAAGCAGATCTTAAGATCCATTCCCAAACCGCAATATTAATGTACACCTTTTGCATCCTCCAGCAATGAGGATGATCCAGTTTGTGACAAGGCTTAAGTCGTTTTTTCTTCAAATACTGCATTAGTTATGTATACAGCAAAATTCAAAACAAATTACGTGGTATATGAAAATACACAATCATCCCCTACATGATTTCGTCTTCCATTCATGCACACTGCCTTTACTATAATTTGACTACAAATTGTAAAACCTATGGCAGCAGATTAACAGGCTTTTCAAATTAATAAAGAACTATAAGACTCCCTTTAAGTTAGAGGAGGGGCAATAGTCTAATTAGATCCTGTCATGTGTTTATTCGGAAAATCCAAAAGTGGAACAAGATGTTCCACTGTTGCAACAGGACACAGCCATTGGATTTTCAAAGTATGTGACAGAGAAGGATGATTACTCTTTTATATCAAAACGTAAAATTATACAGAAAATATGACAGCAGAACTCAACAACCGTAGCAATCTTCCAGAAAACAATGAAAAGATGTACGCACACAATGATTGCCTTTGCAATTGTTGAGTGCTGTTTTACTCCAGTAACGTACATTAAAAATATACTGTTTGGATTTCTTTTCTAGGCATAACAAACACAGCACACAAAAGTTTTCTCTGAACATGAACCCGTATAACAAGTATTCTCAATAATTTCAAACAACTCCAGGATTCATGTCATTTCTTCGCCATCATCATCTATTTACACATCAAAAATAAATATTGCACAGAATTAATAAGAGTGTAGCTAATCCTGTTGAATATAATTTTCTATTTGCAGGTATGTGACCTCACATACATTACCAAATAATAAATTTTATAGTTATTTACAAGTTTTTTTCTAGTAATTCAAATAAATAGTTTCATATTAATGTGACTCATTCACATTGTTATCATGTTTATATGTAGAGATTCAATCCAATTTCTGTGAAGTACCTAGTACCAAACTTCGTTGGAAAAATGAAAAATTAAACGCACCATCTCACCCAAATGATGTATTCTAAATGTTAGTGTTAACAATCAAACATAGAACAGAAGGATTACAGGGTATAGTGCGAGAAATGGTCATTCGTAAAATGATCTAAAAGCAAAGGTTATTTAGAAAGATTTCGGGTCAATTAGTGCTCCCAGATTCTTCCCCAAACTCGCGGGGGAAAAGTATACTGCTTAGAGCAAAACAAGAGAGGGGCGTAGGTTTCAAACCCTTCTTTTCGATATGAGGTCGTCGGTCACGCGAGCGATCGGTGTCGTGCTCGGCTCGGCGCGGGTCGCGAGCGGCGGGGCGCCTCACATGAGCTTCTGCTTGGCGCACTCGGGGCAGATGATGTCGTCGGCGTCCGTGATGAAGCCCCGGCCGACGAGCGACGTCTTGCAGGACGCGCAGATGAAGCAGTCGTTGTGCCAGTGGCGGTCTTCGAACGAGATGAAGCGCGTGCCACCGATGCCTGCGGGACGAGAACGAGGCCATGAGCGTCATGAGGACAAACTCCACTCAGAACAGGGGTACACCCTCAAAAATAAAAGATAAAAAATAGAGGGATTTTTTTTTTTTAAAAAAAAGAGAAAAAAATGAAAGACATTTTTTTCTTCAAAAATCAGAAGAAATCGAAGAAATTAAAAGAAAATCAGAAAATGTTTGGCCACCAAATGATCACAATTTGGGCTATTCGTGACGTGTTTACTGGACTGCTACTCACCGGTGATCGGCTTGGTGCAGGACGTGCAGCGCTTGGCGAACAGCTCGCCGAAGCAGTCGGCGCAGTAGGGCTTCTCGTCGCGGGACGTGAAGCGCTGGCCGGCCAGCGAAGTGTTGCAGTTGGTGCACGTGAAGCACTCCCTGTGCCAGGGCTCGTTCTTGTACGTCACGCCACCAGAAGTGATGATCTGCAGACGAGGGAGACGGATACGGTTAGCAAAGTCGTTCGGCTGAGGAGCGCGCCTGGTAGGTAGGCCGCCGCGAGACACCCGCGCGCACCACCCACGCAAATTGCCTACCCGCAGGCGCTCTCCGTGGACGTACAGCGCCTGGTGGGTAGGCCACCGCGAGACACCCGTGCGTTTCGCCCGCACAGGTTGCCTACCCGCAGGCGCTCTACCGGGCCGCACCTCCTGAGCGCCTGCTGCGTGCGTGGGCCAGCCGGGAAGGTCGACGGGCCGCGCTGCGCGACCCACCTGTGCCGTGCCGCCCCGCCCCACCCCGCCACTCTGCGCGCTCCGATTGATGAGCTCGGCGCACGCGTAGGTCCCAACTCTGCACGAGTTTGATTTTAGCCAACCTCACTCTCTCTACGGACACAGCCGAGCCCTTTTCCTACAAAAGTGGGATTAAGTGACTCTTGACTGGGTGACGCGCTGGGTGCGGCTTAACGTCTCGGTGAGTCCGAGGAGGCGGAAGACAAAAAATACCGGCCTCAGCTCAGCACGCCCACGCCACCCGTCCCGCTGCTAATGACGGCCACTTCGTCCATTCTCGACCACGGCACACAATTGTACGATATCTTGATATCTCGATACAATATCTTGATATCGATTGCTCGATATACTCTCCCGATATCGGTATTATTGACGCATCGAAGCAGTCGCCCGATTAATGTCGTCGACATGCCTCCTCGATAGATACTTCGATAATTTGGGAGTCATCGTGTTGATTTGCGACTCGTCATGGCATCCGATACGTTCCGATTTTGCTGTAAACTTGATATATCCTCTCACCTTGTTGCACTTGACGCAGCGAGTGGCGAACTTCTCCTCGTAGCAGGTGGCGCAGTAGATCTCCTGCTCGCGGGGGATGAAGCTCTTGGTGCCGATGGCCGACTTGCAGACGCAGCAGCAGAAGCATTTCTCGTGCCACTGCCTCGTCTTGTACTCCATCTTCTTGGTGCCTGAAGAAACACACGAAAAAACAAGAAGATATTTAGTCCCTCAAAATTATTATCAATGTTTGTGTGTTTTTATACACTTTTTTTTTGGGGGGGGGGTCTCTCTCCTTTGTACGCACTGTTTAGCACGTGTGAATCCGCTAAAACTTTTGCAGATACGCGATGTCCTCTGAATTCCTGCAAAGTCACACCTAAATATTGACGTGAGTCGGGAGGAGGAGGCTCAAGTAGCAGCAGCAAGCACCGGTCCGCCGCAAACACTCGAGTGCGGCTAACGGCGGTAGTGGGTGCGCGGGGCGTGCGCAGGACGACGCAGATTAATGAGAAGTAGCACTTCACCGGTCCTGACGCCAACGCATTCGCGAGTTAAGTGCATTGCAAACAAAGGGAGACTTAAGGACACAAGATTAATTATGTGCAAAAGATTAAAACTCGTTACGTAAAATCTCTGCCGCGACTTTGTAAGCACCAGGGGCTATATCCAATAAGCCCACTGACATTGCTTTTTCAAATCGCAGAAGAGCGCGCCACCGAACAAAGACGATGACTGTCAAAATGCTACTTCCAAAGCCGAGTGAGACAAATGGGAATGACTGCAGATGCAGATCGCTCGAGATTGCCAACTTGTGCAACAGAGATTGGCCGCGAGAGCCGGGCGCCAGCTGCAACCCCGGAGCTCCGCCAGCAGCCGGAGCAGAGCGACCGAACAGCTGACCGGACGGCAGGTGCGAGGGCGCGGCGCGCGTATAAGGCACGACACCATGTCGGCGTCGGTACGATATCCATACGATATATCGATCGGCTCACATCGGTCGGATCGACGACGTCGAGTAGTCCATGGCGTCGTGCCGACAATCTCGCACTGGAGGGCGCACGGCGCAGCCAGCGGCCCCGAAAGCTCGCGGCTCAACGAATAGCTGTAGGGGAACCCGAGACGAAACACCTGGGCCTGGGCGCATGCATGGGCGACGTGGAGCCTCCACTACCGGCTCACGTCTAACTGAACCGCGCTATCGGCTCCGGTTTTGCAAAAAAATAAAAATAAAAGAAGAGGATAATTTTGTGCGACGAGTGATGTAACAGAAACAGTCATCGCTACACACTTGCGTCGAGGTCTCTCCAGCACGGCGACATGGGCGTCAACACGCACGCGGCAGTCGTTCTCCAAAACGGCTCGGGCCGGTTCCTGCACCCCCCCCC